TCACAGTACTTGTTCAATGCCTGCCACAAAAGCTCTTCCCTGACTGTACGAGGCTTATTGGCTTTGGCAATTTGAAACCCCCAAAAAGATGCACACAGTGCCGTGTCTTTGCCGTTGCCTGTCTTTTTAATTGGTTTTGTCTCCTTTATCCCGCTGCTGTGGAAGAGAGCGAAAGGAATTGGAAAGCGAAGCAGATGTGTGATTGTGGTGTGCTGCTTGGATGTTGCTAGTTCAGGTCTCATCTGATGCTTCATGAAGCAGTGCCTCACATTATGCTATATGAAATACAATCACTGTCTGACATTGCCTTACACAGTCACTCAGAGGTTTAAAGTGCAGTGTCTTAGAGAGTTCAATAAACATAGTTGTTTATATAGTTTGTATAGTTATTCTCAATATGTTTGCTGAGAATCAACTTGGTGTTGATGTCTTATCTTACTTACCTAGAAATGTAAAATAAAGTATTTTTAACATTATCTGGCAATCTGAATCCTAGTTAAACACTACTTTACAACACTACAATTTCATTATCTGACAACCCTCACTTCTCTAGTTCTATTCAACACATGATGTTGATCAGCTATGGATACAGTTATTTGAATCCTTGTTTATTTTCTTGTGTATTAAATTATAAAATTCATGAAAGTTATAAGTTATATAGTTGTGTTTCTGTTTTAGAAAGGTCTTGATTCTATTCAATGGTCCTTTTTGAGGCTGTAATTTGTGGTGCTGTTCAACTGTATTGCGTTACAGGTATACTGAGAGTTTGAAATATTCAGCCATCCTTGATATAATTTGGGTCTGAGTTAGGATTAGTGTCAGCTTCAATTCAAGTCCATCAAAATTAAAGCACACAGCAGTTCCCCAGGTTTCTAGCTTTCATGGTAACCATGGTATAGTGTTAGCATTTCCAGCAAATAGCAACATAGATGGTTATCTTGCAGAGAGGCAATGAAAGCAAAACTGCTTAAGATATTTGGTAAATAACAAAAAATTGCCACCATTGTAGTTTTGTGTGTTAGCATATTAACCATTAGCTCTAAGCAGTCATTTTAATGTTATAATAAACCAAGGTGTTGGACGATTAACATTTGACCTGATGATGGCGCCACATTACAATTCATCCTGAACAGAACATGAATGTCTCTGCCAAATTTCATGGTAATCCCTCCAATAGTTGTGAGACATTTCAGTCTGAATCAATAATGTCATCCTGCTGGTGGCACTATATGAAAAGTCCTGGAATCACCAAAGTCCTTAGGATATATCTGCCTAGAATAAAACATTTACTTATAAATTAGCATCTATTAATATTTGTCAAAATATTTAGGTCTGACCAACTGACACTACCTTTCCACCATTAAAGCTCTTCAGATAGTGGGTCTAAAAACAGTAGATGTATTGAATTCTTAAGGACTAAAAGTCAGACTAAATTTAAATTAACAAACAAGAGCCACCTTATTTACATGTCAAAGACAATTTACTAATCATGATGAATACAACTCCGACTGCTCTAGAAGAGGTTCGTCTGAATAAAACCTCTGATAGCTTGGAAATGACAAACGTTTACCAGAAATTCTGAGTTCCAAGCTAGATGTGTGCTGGACTGTAATGGGATCAAATGGATTTGGAGCTTAACCAATACTAGGGACTGAAAGTCAGTATATCTCCTCCTCTGCTGCTTCTGTTTTGGCCTTTCTCTCACACATTCCTCAACTTCATTGACCTGTGATACTAAATCATTGGAGTACTTTTAGTCATAAATGTGCTGGAATGAAGCATGTTGCATATCTAGCACATTACATACCTTATTTGAAATCTACACTGACTCATAGATCAAAGCTTCTATTAAGATTGTATCAGGAAACTGACTCCAGATGAGAGAAGAAAGCCAGATGTTGAGAGAGTTGAAGGAAACAGAGTGCAGAACAAGAGCTGCTCTGGAAGTAATACAGCAGTGCAGGAGAGAAAAAGAGAGAAGAGACGAAGATTACAAAGGCATAAAGAGAGAAGTGAGGAGGCGTAAAAGATGCAGGAGGCCAAACAGAGGGAGGAGAAGGAGAGGAAGGCAAATGAGCAATAGGCCCTTAACAGAGAAGAACAAGAACAACTGAGAAAAGAGGCTTCAGTGGAAGAAGGTAATGATGGTGGAGAAGGAGACGACCACAAGGCCCGGATTCACTCTGAGTGATCTGAAAAAGGAGCAGGAGAGAAGATGTGAGGAGAGTGGAAGACAAAACCAGCTTTAAGTGCTTGATAGCAATATAGTAATCTAACACTCAGACTGAACGAAAACTAGCGCTATAATATAGTTTTCCTTTAGAACTGCTCCCCCAGGTATCATTACATGATTACTGTAAACCAAATTGTATAGCAGTTTGGCCAGTGGTTATTGAGATATCTTTCTGTGTTGGGGGGGCTTTACTGTGTGTAAAGCGAACATATTATCCTAATATTTATTTGGTCATTTTGACAAGCCCTACTGATTTGGCAATTACACTATGCAACCACAGTGGCTGTGTAATGGATATCATGTACTTGCACTGTTTGCACCATAAGCTCATGTTTTCTAAATTACAGGTCTTTCAATTGTTCACACCTGCCTTTAGTGTGAAGGTCTCTGTTGTGTTAGTTGGCCTGCAAAAGAAAGCGGAAAGAAACAAACTAATGAAACCTACAGCACTTTACAGCAGCAGTAGACAAATGGCCAAAATTAGATCTTAAAATGGAAACACTGATTCATAGGTTTAGCCCTGACCTGCCATATGTTTTACTACAATTTGTGCCTCATTTAATATTTAGGACAATATTTTCCCCTACTGTAGTATTCTTGTATCTCCCCAGGAGATCCCTCTGCAGGCTGGGAGCTGGCCTGCTACTAGAGAAACAGAGAGAGCCAGGCTCTATTTCAATGACTCTTAATGAAGATTAATTCATGGAGAGGGCAGCCCTTTATAAATGAAAGTTACTGTTATAAGTGTAAAGGCACAGACAGAAGAATTGAATGTGAAACCACCATGAAGCTTTGTGATGCCACTGTTGAGCACACAGGTGTGTGTCAGTACACATTGATTTATTTTGAATCCAAAGTTTGATCTGTGCTATTTCTGTGGCTTCTCCAGATAAATCACCTCCAAAATCACCTAACCCACTTTAATGTTATTGTATACAGTGTGTATGTGTGTATATATATATATATACTATAATATATATATATAATATATACATTTAAATACTTATATATACATATATACAGCTATTATTCCTATAATATAAATATTAATATATACTATATATAGTATATATTAATAGTGATGTGTGTGCTGTTTGAATGCTGTAGAGTGGCAAGAGTCTGAAACTCAGAGGATTTTTCACAATTCATCTGCTGAACAGTAATAAGTTTCTCTATGCTCATTTGAAAGCTGATTTTAAGGGGTTATGAGCATGATTTTGACACAGTGAGTATAGAATGTAAGTCTGGTCCAGTATGACAGCTTGTACAGTGTGATGTAGCAAACTTGAAGGCCACAAGTGCCATCACTGAGAAATGGACGTCTTACAGTGGAACGTAGGAGTACCTGTCTCAGCAAGAGAAGAATACTTTTAAGGATGTTTAATTGGGCAAATATATACTTTAGACATTAGACATATCATTCACAGTTCCAAGCAGACTTTTTGTGTATAAGTATGTCTTGTACATGTCTGGCAGGGATCTTTAAGTGACCTTCCAGTACTCAAAACTCAAGTTGCCCTCTGTGAGGTTGACCCTCTGAGGGCCAAGGGAGTGAGTGAACAATGCTACATATACTACTAAGCATTTATTGCATGGTTGCGAGAACCAGCATCATTTGATATTAAGAAACTTTATTTTAGGTTTAGTTTGTCAATTCAAGTCACTCTAAGTTGCTCACAGAATGCAGTCTCACATTATTTTTCTTCTTCTGAAAATCAAAGTTTACCACCTTTAAAGGAAACAGGGAAAATCTTCAAATTCTAACATTAAAATCCCTCTCTCAGCAGCTCAGCAGTAATGGCTGAGGGACGAGAGACCACTTTACTGCACTCTAGTGACCACCTGACCACCAGACCACAAAGCCTCCCCCTGTAACAATCCGCTAAACTAACATTTCTCCTGTGTTTGTTTTCTCTTTAGGTCTGAGAAAGCAGGCGAGATTGCAACCATTCCACTGACTAAGGTAAGACTCAACGTCTTTTGTGTGTTTGTACTAGGTGAGGTATAGGCCAGAAAACAAACCGGTATTGTTTAGTTTAGCTTAAATACCCTATCACTTGGCTGACAATGAGTATTCATAGATATATAGAAATTGGGGATTGAGTCATGGCGATCAGTACAAAAAGAGAACGTCTGTAATTATCTACTTAAGGCGGTGTGTTTGATTCTATTCAACTGAAAGAGGATGCATCAGTTTAATATTCCATGGGTGCTTCATATGGTTCAGTCTTCAGACACCTGCCTGGCTTATTCACTCAGCAGCTTTTACATGTCTGTGCCCTGGGGCCCGTTGGCTCATCATCTGTCCATGCCTGTTCAACGATGTATTGCATGGGTTGCTACTGGAACCTTCTGCTGTAGTTTGTGGTGGAGAAAGTCAAGGTCATTTTCTGCAGGTACCTGTAGAAAATGGCTTTAAGGGTGAAATTAAGCCTCATATCTAACTTCTTGAACTATCTTGTTAGGTGGAATCAATGTGTTTCCTGAGCCTCACGGAACAGTTCTGCTTTCATTTTAACAATTGTGCCAGTCCACAGTGACGTGCAGCAAGAGTTAGGTTTTGTTTTTTCTTTCCTCTTCCTCTGGCAAGCTTAGTGAAGGACAGGAAGACATTCAAGGAACTCATTCCTCGATGTCTATATTATGTCAACGTATTAACTATATCCATAATGACTATTGTGCTATTGTGGGCGGCATCTTTTTTTTTCTTCTTTTTTTTGTAATCGCAATTTTCTTCCTGAACTTTTCATGGACTGTACTTGCTGATATGAGTCAGCCTGGTAAAGACCTGGAGCTTTGCTGCGTACAGCACAGCTGGTTGTAAAGATGGTGATGCCATAACAGAGGTTAGAGTCAGTGGGGATTGAGCACTTAAGCACCGCTGACTTCTTGTGTCTGTTGGACATTTGGGGTTACTTTCATAGTTCATCAGATTAAATGCTGAAAAACTACTGAGGAGGGTTGTATCGAAAAGTAAAACAAAGCGTACTCTCCACATACATCCTGTTTCCACACCACTTGATCAGGTGTGTGTGTGTGTGTTTTAATAAAATACATAATCATTAGAAATGTTGGCAGAAAGATTGATTTGTGTAGTCTGAGAACATCACAATGCATAATTAAGTGTCTTTATCACTTAATTTGTCATATAATCACAAGTGATGGTAAATAATGTTGTTCCTCTTATATCTATAGAAACCAGTTGTCACTTCTTAATGCTGTTTAGAATGTCTAATATCCATGCAGGTTGTTTAGTTACATATTCTCTCTTTAACCTTTAACAGCTTCATAAACTTTGGCCATTAGACAGTAGTAGTACCTGTTGGTAGTGGTAATCCACTGGATCTTTGTTGACCTCCTCTTGTATTGTCTCAGTCTTTGTTGCAAAGTGGTAAAGTAGTACCTCTGTACTGTAAGTAATGGAAGGATTTAAGTAAAATGCCATAATACATTATTTTTTTGTGTGTTAGAGGCCTGCTGTAGTGCTCCTAAAGCCACAGGCAGGGCCAGACAGTGGTCTGTGGTGAAATCAACTGCAGCAATATGTAGTCAGCCTGTGTTTGGATCAAGCAAATTCAATTCAATTACACAGGAAGCAGTGTTTCTACCCTGCTAACAACTTCCTGGGTTGCTAATAGAAACATGCAGCAATTAGCTGCAGTGGCTGGCCGGGGCTGGCTGAGAGACTAATTGGTAGTCAGAGATCGCACAGTGGAGCTGGCCTGGCTTAGCCCTCTTGAAGGGAATATAGTTCAGCAGGACTTAATGTGTTTTATGTATATAACATTTCCTCAGCTTAACTCACAAAGAGGGACTTGGGTCCAGATACACTACAGATTCACCCTCTGACTCTCCGATAAAACTGGTGACGGGACCCAAGTTGATTGTGTCCATCATGAAAATAAATCTTATACTAATGGAGAGTCTGCAGGTTTTCATTCCAACCAAATTGGTGATTTCAGTGATGAGCACAACTTCAAAGAGGCAGCTCATCAGTGAAAAACATGAAGTTCTGTGGTCAGAACAATAACCTGCATAGATCAGAGAGTGATGAAAGCAGCTCCCTCAGCTCATCGACATGTAGTATCATTTTAATAAAATGCATTTCAGCATACCCAATTATCATAGCAGCAACATACTGTAACTGTTAAACGTATAAACAATCCCTTTCTGAGCATGCTATTTTCAGAACTTAAATTAGCCTGAAGATATTCTAAAGTACCAAAACGTGCCCCCACCTTCTTCCTTGTTGTGTCCTCATTTTCAACATCCACCAACATCCATCACCCTCCCCACCAACCCATGTAGATTATTAATGAACGTTACAGGACGTACTCCTGGGTGGCTGAGCTGATCCAGGTCTTCATAGCCATCAGCGTCACTGTGTCCTTCCTGGTGATGGGATCGGCCATGAAACACACCAGTAAGTTTACTCCTGCTTGTATGTCAATCAGTAATTCACCCTGTTAGCATTAATGCACATTTGATGTTGCTGCCACAGAGACAATTAGAATGAAGAGAAAATTGCTAGGGCTACTTTTACTGTAGTAGAAAGAAAAAGTGTAATGTAAATACTAGTAGTATGAAGAAGTAGAGAGCTATTCAATTTTTCTCTTTACTATAGAATTGTAACATTCAAAGAGACATTCACGTGTGTGTGTGTGTGTGTTGTGTGTGTGTGTGTGTGTTGTACACATATTTATTGCATCACAGATTGGCACTTCATCTCCCTGTTCTTTATTTTGCAATCTCTACTATTTCCACACATCTGGTTCCCTGTGGAGTTTTAGACTTCTTGTAGCGCCTTTTTTTTGTCTTGTTGTTGTATCTCACTGACCTATAGGAGATGGTTACATTCCAAGAAAGGCGAGAAAGAAGAAGACTACAAGCTAATTAACATGTATGCAAAGAATATTAGGTTCAATATGCTTAGAAAAATAGACTTTGCAAGTGTTTTCTGAGAAAGGAAATGCGTTCAGCTAGTTTATTAGACCTCAAGGATACACTGAATGTCAACATGTTTACAAGAAAACTCCACAGGGCCACTTAAAGCTAAGGCTGGCTGTAGCGTCATATTGAATGAAAGAGTGGTATCGATCATCTAATTCATCTAACTCACAGCAAGAGAGCAAAAATGCAGATTTCACAAAATATAGAAGTATTCCTTTAAGCATTAGATATAAAGTATTTTGTATTTCTTTCAGTTGATGGCCTGGTGAACTCGCTGTGGAGCAGCCAACTGGAGTGGTTGTCTAAAGCCTGGGAGAGAAACCTGCCGAACAAACATCACATCTGCTCAGCGAGAAGGTGAGTACTCAGAAAGGGTGAGAGTGTGCACCTTAAGGACCTTAAAAAGTGTGACCTTTATATAATGGTTAATGTAGGAAACCGCCAGGAAATCTGAGGGGGAACACACTTGGGATGACTGAAAAAGCCCAAGAATATAAGCAATAACAATTGAGGGATTTTTCTTATTTTCAGTACACACATCACGTGAAAATAAGAAATGCAGTTGAGTCTCTTCATCATGTGTGTCTGTGTGAGAGGTACTTGAGTCAGAGGTTATCTAAGGTTTGATAGAAGCATACAGTCAACACACATGCAAATGTTTTTACCTTCTGTCTGACTAATAATAGTTGTGTGCAAAATTTATTTATATGAAATATATAGATATGAACCTGTCGCATGTGTGAACTAAACTGACTCGTAAGTTAAATGTCAAAGACATGCACACATATGCAGCAACAAATGTTATGGAATTGTTCCTTATCATACTAAATATAGTCTTTGGGCACAAATGGGTTTAAAATTAGCTAAAACCCTTTATTTGTACACTGCTGCACTTTATGAGGGTTGAGTCAAAGCAGAGCCCAGTATCTCTATTTTTTTAGGTATTCTGTGTACAGTCTATGCCACAGTTTGTTTTTTTTAAATAAAATTAAGTCATTTTAAACTTTCTAATACACAGTTTGCCCAGCCTAAAAAACGTAAGCCTTTAGTTATTGTCTCTATTAGTCTCTGTAGGCACAGTACATTAGAGAACACTGTGATGTTGGCCCTGTCTTCAAATTAAACACATTCAGATAAATTGTAACTAAAGTCTAAGCATATACGTGATGTATCTACATTTCCCCAAACAACTAATGATCCATGTGTGTATGCAGCAACATGATCACTAATGAAAAGAATTATCATAGTTTTTCTTGGTGTGGCAAATAAATAAAGACGTAAGGATATTAATACACACTGCAGCTCCATATGGCTTATGTTTAGTGCTGTTCTTCGCATCATTAACCTGCAGTAATTAGCCACAGCAGGTATCTGTACATGTACATGTGGGTTATTAGTGATCTGATATTTTCTTCTCTCATGACACATTGTGTGTCTACATGTCAGCTTTACAGGACAAATGACCGTTTGGTTACATGTAACGGCTGTATTTTTAGAAATGCACATCAGAAAACTCGCCCTGTTTTTTACTCTCAGCAGTTCAGAGGTAGCATTAGAGAAGTCTTGGCGCATGCAGTAATAAGGATATCACTGGGCTGTACATGAATAATCAATCCAAAAATAGAGCATTCAGCATACAAAATGGTGTGATTTTTCCAGAACACTCGGGGCAATTTTCCAGGAGCTTAAAATGATTCCTGCAAGAGCTCCAAACACAACTTTTAAAAACAAAGAAGATAACAACTCTGTAACTGCCTGGCTAGTGCATATTCAGTATCAACCTACAAGCACCAGTCAGACCTACCATCCCCTGAGACAGTAGCAGAGGTTAGGAGAGTGTCTCCACGTCAGATATGCAGCTCAGGTCAGAGTAAAGCTGCTTGAGCTTCCTGCGTCCTGCAAGCATACCCTCCGGCCATGTCTGAAATCCCTCCGGACTACCTGTGGAATCTGCTGACAAACACAAAGGATGAATCAGAGAAACAGGACATAACTTGGACTGGAGAGGTGGAATTACAAGGATTAACTTCCTGCAGAGACTCACTGTGGAAAGCTTATTTGAGTTGCGTCAATACTGACGTCAAGGGCACATAATTGTACTTTTACAAAAAGGACCCTCTGACATGCTTATTTATTCATTCCCTATACCTGCTAATTAGAGTTCAGGGTCACCGGAGACTGCAGTTTATTCAAGCAGGCGAATGGACAGAAGACAGTGAAATGTCCTGGTCATGATTGAATCACTTTCTGGCTATACCACCTTAATCTCTTTTTAAAAGAACAATAATCAAGATACTCCTGACCAAAGCACATAATTACGACAATATTTCTTATTCTCTATTCACTCTATTGAGTTGACAATGTCAACATCAGTGTGTAAACTGACTGATGACTGGATGAAAGAAATTTAGAAGAAAACATTTTTTGGAGCTGTGTTGTTAGATTCTATTGCAGCATTACATATGATTGTAGATAAGTTGTTATATTGATACAGTGTGTAGTAACAGGAAATGTACTAATAGTATTCTGAGGTGAGAGCAATAAAATGTGGTGTGCCTCAAGGGAGTTGTTCAGGATGACTTTTGTTTTCAATTTGTATGAATAATTTGCCATTCATTTTAAATAATGGCAGCATTGTAATCTATGCAGATGCAACATCTGTCTGGAGAACTAGGTCTTAAATGAGGAACATTTCTGTTCGGAGGCCGCAGCGGCTCTTGCTGTGAGCAAACCCTCTCCCAGATATAACAGATATGGACTGTGTATGGACATTTAGTGGGACACTGGACATTCATTTGTGGATTTTTATGGTTTACGCTTAACATTTGCAGATGTAAAACAAAAAAGACATTGGACACAGAATGAAAAAAAAAAGTGAGAGTTTTATTGGATGTTAGTATATGTCACTGTGCTTTAAATTGTAGTTCAGTCAGCCAACTCAC